GTAGGCTGAATGTAAAGCTAATGTTCTCCCATGTAAACTAACACATAATTACAATAAAACATTAAAAAAAAGTACATTAGAAGGGAAAAATAAATGGTTAGAATGGCAAAAATAAAAAAAAAAGTTTTATTTATATATATTGTTAAGTGTTGTCAAGCTGATTCTGACTCATAGTGACCCTGCATAAGGTTTCCAAGGAGCAGCTGGTGGATTTGAACAGCTTTGTGGTTAGCAGTCTACTGCTTATCCTACAGTATGACACATATTACCATATACACATACAGAACCAACTAGGCGATGGGTTTATAGGGATTCATTACACTATTCTTTTTACTTCTTATATGCTTGACATTTTCCAGAGTAAGAAATGGTTCAGTACATACAGCAAGTTGCTGACCAATTCTACTTAGCAAAAGGCCCTCATGGCCTTCTAAAGATTTGTTATGTTTGAGTGATTTTGTTACTTGAATAAAAGCTAGTCTCTCCCTTATTTTCTTCTCAGAATACATTGTACTGAAAGAAAGAAATTCAACAACTTAAAATTAGCTAATAAAACTTACGCTCCTTTTTGAGCTTAATGAAAGAGGCTTGGGAATGATAAAGTTGGCTTTCAGCCTACTGTGAAATCTATAATGGGGTTTTTCTTGAGGAGTTAAAAAAACAAAACAAAAAAACAACCTAACTCAGAGAAGACCTCCTACTACAACCTAGCTAGTCAATGAGCTGCAATACATGATCACATTTTTTTGGCAATCTTTTTGTTTTTGAGACACAAAGTACCAGGCTGGCTATGTTTATCAGTTAGCAAACAGACCAATTTTGCTGAAAAACAATTGGTACAATTAGTATACAACTGAAAGAAGGGTGTCATGACAAAAAGTTTTACACAAAGGAATAATCTGTGACCTTAAAATGTATCTCTAAGGAAACACAGGAGGCCTGGTATTGTCCGTGGGATACGAGATGGCTGGTAACTGCAAGGTGAGTAGTTTGAATCTACCAGTTGCTCCAAGTGAGAAAGATGAGGCTTTCTGCTCCCATAAAGATTTGCATCCTCAGAAACCCTATAGAGAGTCTGTATGAGTCAGAACTGACTTCTTGGCACACAACCACCACTAGGATCATCACCAAGGAAAAGCTGTGAGGCTTAAGCACAAAGTTCCTCTCAAGCTTCAGGAGGTCCCAACCTGAAGTCCCTCCTTAAGGATTACGAACTCATTAGCAGCCTGTTCACACTTGATGACTTATTTTTTTCTTTTTTGGTCAATATCATATTTCTTCTCAATCTTCT